TATGCAGATGACACAACCTTGCTTGCTGAAAGTGAAGAGGACTTGAAGCACTTATTGATGAAGATCAAAGACCACAGCCTTCGGTATGGATTACACCTCAACACAAAGAAAACAAAAATCCTCACTACTGGACCAATAAGCAATATAATGATAAACGGAGAAAAGATTGAAGTTGTCAAGGACTTCATTTTACTTGGATCCACAATCAACGCCCATGGAAGCAGCAGTCAAGAAATCAAATGACACGCTGCATTGGGCAAATCTGCTGCAAAAGATCTCTTTAAAGTGTTGAAAAGCAAAGATGTCACTTTAAGGACTGAAGTGTGTCTGACCCAAGCTATGGTGTTTTCAACTGCCTCATATGCATGTGAAAACTGGACAATAATAAAGACCGAAGAATTGTTACCTTTGAATTATGGTGCTGGCGAAGAATATTGAACGGACTGCCAGAAGAACGAACAAATCTGTCTTGAAGAAGTACAGCCAGAATGCTCTTTAGAAGCAAGGATGGCAAGACTTCACCTCACATACTTTGGACATGTTATCAGGAGCAACCAGTAGAGGGTCAGCGAAAAAGAGGAAGACCCTCAACAAGATGGATTGACACAGTGGCTGCAACAATGGGCTCAAGCATAACAACAGTTGTGAGGATGATGCAGGACTAGGCAGTGGTTGCACACAGGCTCGTTATGAGTAGAACCAACTCCACGGCATCTAGCAACAAAAACACCGGGCACTTATAATAAGCCCAGCACTGTGCTAATTGCTTTATAAACATTGTCTCATTTTTTATTTTTGCAATCTCCCTCTTAGAAAGTACTATTATTATCTCTATTTTACAAAAAAAAAAAAAAGGAAGTGCTCAGAGAAGGGAAGTGAATTGCCCAAGGTTGTACAGCTGGGCTGACAGAGGCAGGGTTGAGCCCCCATCTAATTTCCAGGTCTCAGATTCTTATCTGAGAAACCCAACCCTATAACTTGTAGGTCTTGTTCCGATTCTACCATATTGTTTACTCATTTCCTATCCATCTTTTTTTTTCCTTTTTGTATATTTAAGCAACTGTCTACTTTGAAATGCCAGCTAAAACTTGGGGTAAACACTAACAGTGCTTCAAAAGAAACGTTAGTTCTCTAGACTTTCCATTCTAAAGTTAGTGTCTATAAAAAAAGAGACGTTCAGAATTTTTACAACTCCTCCAATGATGATGGCACTGAGAGTTTGTGGTGAATCACCAGGCTGGTGAAGAGACACATCCTAAGCCCTGGGATATATGCAGATCTAATAACTGTCAGACTGCTATGCAAGACCCAGCTCTTGGCTGTCTTCTCCTCCTATTCTATACATTCTTCCAGGGTGATCCTATTCATTCTCATGCCTTTAGCTACTATGAGGCTATGACTCTTGAAATCTCTACCTCTAACCCAGTTGTCTCTCTCCTGAACTCTAACTGGGCATTGCCACCTGGGTGTTCCATAGACACCTCATACTCAGTGTGTCTACATATGAACTTACCTTTCCTGCCTACCTAACTCAGAATAAAGAACAACCATGGTTCCCAAGGTAGAAATCCAGACATTTTGTAACTCCCTCCTCTCATCTGTCTTTCTCTCTGGCTAGTCATCGTATCATTCTCCCTGTCTGTTTTGTTTTTAAATCTGTCGTTTCTCTTGCAGATATCTCTCAGCTGGAGTTGTGTCAGAACTCCTAACTGGTCTTCTTTCTCCAGGCTCTCCTTTTGCAGGTTTTTCTCCACATTGCAGCCAGAATGATCTTTTTAGAGCTCGTATCTGTTCTTTAGTCTGGTATGCAAAGTCTTCTAGGATCTGAGTCTTACCCCTTCTCCAGACTAATTTCTTAGCATTCCTAACCTCAGATTCTATCTATATGCCAATTCTACTTAATGTCCATTTGTACATGATGTTTCCATTGCCTGGAATTCCCTTTCCTCCCTTCTTTATCTGGCTAACTCCCATAAATCCTTCTAGTTACTTTCAGCATTAATTACCTCTTCCAGGAAGCCTTCCCTGATGCCCCCAAGATAAACCAAGCGCCCTGCCTGCTTCCATAGGAGCCCTGGTGGTGCAGTGGTTAAGCGCTATGCTGCTAACTGAAAGGTCAGCAGTTCGAACCCACCAGCCGCTCCATGGGGGACGTGGAAGTCTGCTCCCATAAAGATTATGGCCTTGGAAACCCTATGGGGCAGTTCTACTCTGTCCTATAGGGTCACTATGAGTCAGAATTGGCTCAGTGACAACGGGTTTTCTGCTTGCTTCCAAAGCAACTGAACTGTTTATATCTCATTACCATATTGTATAGAATCACACAGTACTGCCTCCTTAGTTTAACTCTGATTCCTAAAACTTGCCTATGAACTCTTTTGAGGGCAGAGATGGAGTCAAGTCAACAGATAGCAAAGTATTTTAACACAGTAGTATTTTTAAAAAATGTCCAATTAAAAAAATGAGTAAATGGGGAGGTAGTGTATGTAGATTAGAGCAGGAGAACTAGGCTAGAAGTGGCAGTACAGTGTAAAATCAAAAGAGTGGACTCTAAAGTCAGCTGCTTAGGTTCGTATCTCAGCCTCTCCACCTCCTTGTAAGTAATAGGACATCAAGTTGCCTGAGTTTCCTCATCTATAAAATAACAGTCATAATAATAATATTAGAACTTGGTTCGTAGGGTTGCTGTCAGGATCAAATTTTAAATTTTGGTATTTTGTTCATTATGGGTTTTTCTACATTAAATTTTGTAAGCTATTTCATTAAAATATTATTTATCTTAATTACTTTTTTTGGTATCCCGTTAAATTTTGTGCTCAAGGTGAGTGCCTCCTTGCCTCACCCTAGTAGCAGCTCTGCCCACACCTTAGTGCTTCACACATAAGGAGCTATCAATAAATATTTTTAACTTTTACTTATCTCCCTATATTTTTAAGCTGAGTTATACTATACTCAGTAAAGTGAACTAATATTGAGTGTGTTACGGAGCTCCCTAATTGTACACAGCATAATGTTAAGCAGTATAGGTGTCTTCTCTTTTCACTTCAGGTACCCAACAGAGGTCTTTGTTGTTTAACTTTCTCCCCTTCAACTCTCCTCTTTTCCCTCTAGGAAGCGCTGCTATGAGTCCAAAGTTTAGGCGTAATTTTTCTTCAGTTCTATCAGTTCCAAGAGATTTCCTACACGAAAACATCTTCAAGTCGTCACACTTGAAAAAAAAATTTCCTACAGGACGGACTATGACGTCAAGGCTCCTAGCAGCCCTTAAGCGAACGCTCCAAAATACGCCGCCATCTTCCATACAGCAGCACTGCATCCGCGAATGGTCTTCTGCTTGCCGGGCCGCAAAAAGGAAGATTTCGTGACTTCTCGGCACCCGTACCTAGCGGAGCGGTGTGGTCAAGATTTGCGCGACGTCCGCTGTCCTGCCGGAAGTGGGAAGAGGTGGAGATAATGTGGTTGCGCTCGCCAGTGGACCTGCCCGGCTTGGGTAACCTGAGGGCTGGGGTCTAATTGTCGCTAAAGTTTAAAGGCTCCGAGGTGCGCGGGTGGATATAATTCCCAGCTTTGCGAGAAGAGGCAGAGCGCGCGCGGAGGTACGTTTTTAGTGTAAGTGTGCACGTGTTCTGGAAGCTGGTAAAGCAACCTTGGTGGCGACGTGGTTAAAGCGCTCGGTTGCTAACCGAAAGGTCGACGGTTCGAACTTACTGGCCGCTCCGCGGGAGAAAGATGTCGCAGTCTGCGGCAGTCCGCTTGCGTGAAGATTTGCAGCCTAGGAAACCCTGTGAGGCAGTTCTACTCTGTTGTATAGAGTGGCTGTGAGTCGAAATAGACTGCACGGCCGTGGGTTTGGTCTTATACCATCATCTTAAAAGAATTTCACTCTTTCTCCTGTTTCGCTTTAAAAGATGCTTTCAATATTCAGAGAGGCAGAGCCTAGATTCTAGTCTGGTCCAGGCTCTTCCACTGACTTGCTGCGTGTCTTTGACCCCTGTCTGACTCTTAAAATGAAACACAGACGGGGTCCCATAAGTCACTTTTCAGTTCTTCAGAATTTTATTGCATGCGCTTTATGTCATTTGCACTACAAAACCTTGGGAGTTAGATATTAATGGTCCCATTTAATAAGGAAGAGATTGAGTCCCAGGGTGAGGAGTTCCACGACTTCCTCAGAATTGCACAGCTAACTTTTTGGAGAATTGAGAATTTGACACTGGAACATTATGTTGTAACTTCATGACCAGATCTTTTTTTGCGTATTTCTGTATCAGCGCCTGGCCATACAGCAGTTACTCAGAAAGTTTTGAATGAATCTTTTGATGTCCAGGCCAGTGACTCAAGCCAGTCTCTCCACCTCTCTGATGTTGAAACAAGTCTAACTCTTCTCCAGGTGTATCCTGTGCCTTACCTGATTGAGGGCTCTGAGCCCACTTCTGTGGTCTTCAACTTAATCGGACAGACACCATGGAGGCACCTCCAGTCACCATGATGCCTGTCACTGGGGGCACCATTAACATGATGGAGTACCTGCTTCAAGGTAAGTGAACCAGGGAACTTGGATTACCTGTCTTCCTCTTTTCTATTCAGCTTCCCTGGAGATGGGGAACTGTTACACAAAGCCAATCTACACAATTTCTGACACTCAAAAGACAACTGTTTTTCATCCCAACATTTTATTATGGAAAACTTAAAACAGTGTCTTAGTTACTTACTGCTGTCATCAGAAATACCACAAGTGGGTGGCTTTAAAGAACAGAAATTTATTTTCTCACAGTTCTGAAGCTAAAAGCCCAAATCAGGGTCTCAGCTGTGTTGATTCCTTCGGTGAACCTCTCTCCTAGTTTCTGGTATCTGCTAGTGATCCTTGGCATTCCTTTGCTTGTAGACTGGTCCTCACATGTCGTTTGTCTTCTCTCTATGTTTATCTCTGTGTCCATTCTGCTCTTTTTATAACTTAGGAGTTACTAAGTTTAGGATCCACCCTGCTCTGGTATGACTTCGTTAACATAAAAAAGAAACTACCTGTTTCCAAACAGGTTATGGTTGTAGGGACAGGGGTTAGGATTTCAACAATATTTTTGGAAGACACAATTTAATCCATAACATACAGAAAACTTAGAAAAATTCTATTGTGAACACCCATATATCTGCCACCTAGATGTTACAACTTTCATTTTACTATACTCGTTTTATTACATGTCTATCCATCACTCCGTCCATCAAACCATCTTATTTTTTTTATGCATTTCAATATAAATTGAAGACCGCAGTATACTTCTGCCTAAATACTTCAGCATGCAATATTTGTTTTTTTCTTTGAAGTAAAATTTACATATAATGAAATGTGCAGATCTTAAGTGGACCATTCCAGAAGTTTTGACAAATGCATTCCCCTGTGTAACTAAAGCCTTTCTCAAGATATGAACATTATCATCACCAAGAAAGTTCCTTCAGGCCCCTTTCCTGTCAGACTTCATCCTGACCTCTTCTCCGTTGGAGAAACTACTGTTCTGATTTTTTTCCACCATAAAAAAAAAGATTTTCCACCATAGATTACTTTTTCCTGTTCTAAATCTTTATATGAATGGAAACAATGTACTCTTGTGTAAGGCTTCTTTCAGTCAGCATAATGTTTTTGAGAGTTATTCATGGTGAACTCACCAGACCCTTTCTCATCTCTGCCTGTTATGGATTGAATTGTATCCCCCCAAAATGTGTGTCAGCTTAGCTAGGCTGTGATTCCCAGTATTGTGTGATTGTCCACCGTTTTGGCATCTAATGTGATTTTCCTATGTGTTATAAATGCTACCTCTGTGATGTTAATGAGGCAAGATTAGAGGCAGTTATGTTAATGAGGCTGGACTCAATCTACAAGATTACATTGTGTCTTAATACAATCTCTTTTGAGATATAAAAGAGAGAAGCAAGCAGAGAGACAGGGAGACTTCATACCACCAAGAAACAAGAGCCAGGAGAATAGCACATCTTTTGGACCTGGGGTCCCTGCGCGGAGAGGCTCCTCGACTGGAGAAGATCAATGACAAGGAGCTGGCACTCTGAATTCAGACTTCTAGCCTTCTAGACTGTGAGAGAATAAATTTCTCTTTGTTAAAGCCATCCACTTGTGGTATTCATGTTATAGCTGCACTAGATAACTAAGACACTGCCTTTGTACTTGATGACCTGTCCACTCTAAATACTTTTTCCCTATCTCTTCAAATGACCATCTCATTTTCATCCTTTGGGTTTCAGCTCAGTTGTCACCCCCTTATAGATAGGTCTTCTCTGACCATTCCACTCCCTCAAAGGGACCTTCTCTCCTCCCTACTCCTCCACTAGTTGTTCTCTACACCATCTCCCTTTTATTTCCTTGTATTTGTTTGTTTACTTATTTATTTTTTGTTTCCTGCACTAAGCTGTAATCTCCATGAGGGAAGGGCCTCCTACTGCCTAACACAGTACCTGGCACAGCATTAAATATCTGTATGTTCAGTGAACCAATGCTTATTAAATGCTTAAAATGCTAAGGAAGGAACAAACATATGTATCTTAGTCATCTAGTGCTGCTATGACAGAAATACCACAAGTGGATGGCTTTAACAAAGAGAAATTTATTTTCTCACAGTCTAGTAGGCTAGAATTCCAAATTCAGGGTATCAGCTCCAGGGAAAGGCTTTCTCTCTCTGTTGGCCTTCTCATCAGTCTTCCCCCAGACTAGGAGCTTCTCTGTGCAGGGACCATGGGTCCAAAGGATGCGCTCAGCTCGCAGCACTGCTGTCTTGGTGGTATGAGGTCCCTCCTGTCTGCTTACTTCTCTGGGGAAGCTCCCTTTACATTGCATCAGGGACGTGACCTTAGTAAGGGTGTTACAATCCCACCCTAATCCTCTTTAACATAAAATTACAGTCACAAAATGGAGGACAACCACAGAATACTGGGAATCATGGCCCAGCCAAATTGATACACACATTTTTGGACATAATTCAATCCATGACAGCGTGTCTGACCCTGCTCTAAATACAGGATACTAGCCCCTGCTCCCAAGGATCTTCTATCCTGTGATTAACTTGGTCAGGTGCTTTTCCTACAACACTATTGTTTCCGAAAATTCAGTCATCTAAGTCCCACTATCAATTTTTGAGGTCCCTGGTGGTGTTTACGCTCAACTGCTAAGTTAAGAGTTGGCAGTTCGAATCCACCTGGCAGTTCTATGGAAGAAAGGCCTAGTGATACACTTTTGTAAGATTACAGCCATTGAAAACACTATTGAGCACAGTTCTCTGAAATACATGGGGTCACCATGAGTTGGAGTTGACTCAGTAGCAATGGGTTATCAATTTCTGCTATAATTATAATATACTATTATTTACTTCAACAGACTTACTTGACAAATATTTGAATTTGAATATATTTCTAACACTGGAATATCAGCAGTGGAAAGAGAAAGATGACTAAAGATTTGAGGTGTATGCTCTTTTATTTACGGTGGTCAGAAAGGTCCTCTCTAAAGTGGCATTTGAGCAGAGACCTGAAGAAAGTGATGGGGTGAGCCATGCAGATGTCTGAGGGAAGAACATTCTAAGCCTATGAAATAAAGGAATAGGCTCTGAAGAGGATGTATACTTGGTATCTTTGGGAAATAGCATGAAGGTCACTATGGCCAGAGAGAGTGATCAAGGGGAAGAGTGGAAGGAGATGATGCTGGACAGGTAGCAGAGACCTGCATAATATGTAGGGCCTTGTTGACTATGGTAAGGACTTTCAATTTTATTGTGAATGACACGGGAAACAGGGTTCTGAGCAGAATGTCATTATCTGCCTTATGTTTTAAAAGGAGCACTTGGTTGTTATGTGGAGAATAGAGGAAGAAGGCAAGAGTGGAAGCAGGCTATTGCAAAGACCAGGCAAGCAGTGAAAGAGATTTAATCTAGGTGGAAGAGATCAAAGGAGTGAAAAGTAATTGAATTCTGCGTTTATTTCAGAAATATGGATTGGATTGGGATGTGGGAAAATGAAAAGAATTCAAAGATGATTCTGTGATTTTTTTTTTGCCCGGGCAACTGGAAGCAAGGAGTTGACATTTACTGTGTTGGAGAAAATCACAGGAGGAATAAGTTTGTTAAGGAAAATACTAAGTTTGATACTGAACATGTTAAGATGGAGGTGTCTGTTATGTATCCAAGTGAAGAAATTGAGTAGACAGTTAGATGTGTGAGTCCATGGTCCATGAGATGTAAATGTGGGAGTTCTCAGGGCACAGATGATATTTAAAGCCATGGGAAGTAGGTCACCTAGGGAGGAAGAGCCTGTTGATGGAGAAGAGAACCAGGACTGAGTCCTAGGGTCCTCCACTATTTAGGGAAGATAAGGAAGAACCAGCAAAGAGGACTTAAAAGAAATGGTCACTAAGTTAGGTGATGAATCAAGAGAAAGTTGTGTTCCAGAGACAAAAGGAAGAAAAGATTTCAGAGTCAGTATAATCAACCATAACAATGGTGTCCAATGCTGCCAAGCAGACAAATAAAATGAGAACTAAAAATTACTTAATGACTTGAAGCAGTTTATTCACTTTTGCATATATTACATAAAAAGGAAACTTTATATTTCTCCTATAAATGGAAAATCTTTATTTGTTGGAAATGGATGAAAATTATTAATATAAAATGATCACGAGATAATATTATTACATTCTAGATAGGTATTGTTACCTGTTAAAGGCTCTGCACTCCAGGCCTGCTGGAGATTCGCAAGTGTTAGAGAGGGCCTAAAGACTTCCTAGTATCAAATAAGAAAATGTAAACAAATTGACAAAGGAGTAAATTTCTCATAATGTTGTACAATACTACCCCCTAAAATCTTACACATTGGGTCTTTGCTTTACAAAACAGTGGACTAAACTGTTGTGGTCTCTCATTCAGGTCTTTTGAAACTTTTGCTAATTCCATGATCCAAAATGAAACCTGGAACTCAACAGTGCTTTTTTCCCCTTCAGGAAGTGTTTTAGATCACAGCTTGGAAAGCCTCATCCACCGCCTTCGTGGTTTGTGTGACAACATGGAACCTGAGACTTTCCTTGACCATGAGATGGTATTCCTCCTTAAGGGCCAGCAGGCCAGCCCATTTGTTCTCAGAGGCCGGCGCTCTATGGATAGGACAGGGGCGCCCTGGCACCTGCGCTACCTGGGACAGCCAGAAATGGGAGACAAGAACCGCCATGCACTGGTGCGAAACTGTGTGGACATTGCTACATCTGAGAACCTTACCGACTTCCTGATGGAAATGGGTTTCCGCATGGACCATGAGTTTGTTGCCAAGGGACACTTGTTCCGTAAGGGCATCATGAAGATTATGGTGTACAAGATTTTCCGCATCCTGGTGCCAGGGAACACAGACAGTATTGAGGCCTTGTCACTCTCCTATCTTGTGGAACTAAGTGTTGTTGCACCAGCCGGGCAGGACATGGTCTCTGATGACATGAGGAACTTTGCTGAGCAGCTGAAACCTCTGGTTCACCTAGAGAAGATAGACCCCAAAAGGCTTATGTGACTAAGGGGCTGTCCAATGGGGCCTGTATTCACCTGTCACAAAAAAGAAGGCGTTATAAATGTCCCACGCCCCCACTACTAGCCAGGCAGGAAGGACAGTGAGTAGTTGGTTCTTTGTCCTGGTTTCTTCCTATGGTGATACCACTTTTGTAACAGCCTTTTTAAATGAAAGGCTCAGGATTACACAAGAGTCTATCTAATCCCTCCCCCGTAAAGAGGGGAAACTGGAATAAATTAGCTGTTGGAGAGAAAAATCTCTTAAATCTTTTTGCCATTTGTGTAAAAAGTTTGTAACATAGAGGCTGTGAGTTTGTATTGTATGGTAATAAAGTCTATGAAGAGAAATGTCTGTGTAACTCTAATTCTGATTCTTTTCTTTGTTACCTATTTTTAATTTTGATAGAGGTGATAGTTTTTACCTTTCGTAAAAGTAGTACATGTTTGTTGTTGGAAATTTTTTAAATAGAGACCAACAAAAATAATTAAAAATTATCTATAATCCTGTTAACCAAAGAGGGAATCCCTGGGTGGCATAAGTGGTTAAGCCCCAACTGGTTGTTTAGTCTGCCTAGAGGGACCTCAGAAGAAAGGCTTGGCAGTGTACTTCCAAACCATCAGCCATTGAAAACTCTGTGGAGCATAGTTCTACTCTCACACACATGGGGTCTCTGAGTCAGAATCGACTTGACAGTAACTTGTTATTTTTATCCAAAGAGATGTATTATATCTATTTTCGTGTATATCCTTCCAGTCTTTTTTGTAATGTGTGTATATGAGATACAGCAATGATTGTGAGAACGGCCCAGGACCAGGCAGTGTTTCCTTCTGTTGTGCATAGGGTCACCATGAGTCTGGAACTGACTCAATGGCACTTAATAACAACGTACAAGATATATTTAATTTATAAAAATATTCAGTATATACTGGTTTGTAGCCTCCTTTTTCATTTGATGTAGCATTAGCATCTTTTTAGGACATTAGTCTACAGTGTCCTTTTGTTTAAAAAAAAAAAAGACCAATTTATTGAGTTATTATGTGTCAGTGCTGTCCTAAATACTGTAGGTATGCTAACTCATTTAATCCTCACAACAGTCGCATTTTATAAACAGGGAAACTGAGGTGCAGAGAGATCAAAACGAATCTTCTCCAGACTGTACAGCTACTAAGACGTAGAGCTGGGATTTAAATAACGTAGTTTGTAATTGCTACTTGTACTGCATTAATTATGTAATTGATTCCCCTACTATTGGATTTTTAGTTTGGTCCCAATATTTTGCTTTGATAAACAATCCTCTGGTGCTTATGCTTTTAATTAAATCTTTGTTGACATCAGTGATTGTTTAGGATAAATTCTAGGGAACAACTGAGGCAAAGGGTATGTACTATTTTAAGACTTCAGTCATGCATTGCCTCCCAGGAATATCCCAGTTTTCACACCTACCAACTCTGAGTAAGGTTTCTGACACTGTTGGCAACACTGGGTGTTGTAAAAATTTGTTTTTTCCCGTTTGATGACAGATGGTAACTAGTTTTAATTTTTTTTTAAATATTCATCAGTGAGGTTCAAATTTTTTTATATGTTTATTAGGCATTTTTTTCATGTATGAATTTGCTTTTCATTGATTCGTCATCTTTTCCGTTTTAATTTGTGAAAGCTTTTTTATAATTTTTCCGATTTATATTTTGACTTTAATGGAGTGTTTTTTAAGTGAAACTTATTCATGGGATAAATGTTGATCATTTTAATATTTGTAGCAGAATTTTTATTACACTGAAGAGTGTTTGGTTTGCTGAAAACTGTAGGTTACTCAAATTTTTCATTTTCTTCTGGAACCTCCACTTAGTTATCATCCCAGTTGAGCTACATTGGACAGGTAATCTTTTTGCATCTAAGTTTACCACTCAAAGATTAGATAAATACTGTTAGAATGCTTTGGGGTACAAGTAACAGAAAACCTACCCAAAATTACTTTAAACAATAAGGATAGCATTAACTGATCTAATAAGTCCCAAAATGAGAGCATTTCCTTAATTGGTTAGTTGGTTGTTTTCACTGGCTCTGGGATCCTTTTCTTGGCTTTCTCCTGCATGTTTGCAAGATAGCGTTGTTTTCCTCTCTCAGGTTGCAGAAGTGAATAAATCTCATTCCTTCTTTCATAGCATGTTAAATGGTTCAGGCAAGTCCCCTTTCTTGTTTTGTAGTCTTCCCTTTTATTCGTAAACTCTACTGCTCTCATTCCCTCTATCTTGTAAGTACCCACTCTGTTGTGTTCAATGTATGTTCATTATGCCCGAATATGTAGAGTTACGTAACTATGTTCAATTCACATAAATGATGAAGTACTAGGAATTTTGTTCTTTTTTCTACCTTTTATGTTAACGTTGTTTTTGTTGCTATATGTAAATCTAACTCATAACTTCCAACCTGCGTATGCTTTCGTATTAACAGTAGTAATGTTGTTGTTATTGTTAGGTGTCGTCGAGTCCATTCCAACTCATGGCGACCCGGTGTACAAAAGAGCAAAACACTGCCCAGTCCTGCACCATCCTCACAATCGTTATGCTTCAGCCCATGGATTAGCACTTATATAATGTTTAACTGTGGCAGATACTTTAACTGTTTTAACTCATATACTTCGCACAAAAATCCTATGAGGTAGTTATTATTCCATTTATAGATGAGACTGAGGCACAGAAAGGTAACTCAGATTTCCTATTACCATTGTCCAAAGTCAGAAGTAGTAAGTGGTAGAGCCTGAATTTCGACTCAGGCAGTCTAGCTCCAGAATGCAGGCACATAATCACCACGTGTCCACCATGTTTTACTCATTCAGTCCCTTGATGAAAACCTAAATTGTCTTCAACTCTCCATCGCCATAAAAAAATGCTACAATAAGTGAAGTTGTAGATTGGTGTGAAAATTCATCTAAGCCATATAGCTAGGGGCATGCTCAATTTCATAAAATATTGCCAGATTGTTTTTCAGAATTGCCGTACCATTTACATTCCTAACACCAGCGCTCAAGAGCTCTTGTATCCATATCCTCACCAATCCTTGGTATTATCTAATTTTTGCCAGCCTTGGTGGTGCAGTATTTAAGAGCTTGCCTGCTAACCAAAAGTCAGCAGTATGAATCCACAGCCACTCCTTGGAAACCCTATGGGGCAGTTCTACTTTGTCGTATAGGGTAGCTGTGAGTTGGAATCAACTCAGTGGCAATAGGTTTTGGGGTTTACTGGATGTTTTAAGTGGTGGCTTTTGGTTGTTTTGATTTGTATTTCTCTGGCTATAATTAAATCTGAGCCTTTTTTCATATACTTTTTTGTATTTGAAAGTGTAGATACTTTTCAGTATATGAAACCAAGGTATTTACAGTAAATTATTTTTCCATTACCATCTGAGAAACAATCATGTTCTATCCATTGCTTTGTAATACCGCTTTTATCATATATTAAGTTCCCATCTATATACTTTATTTCTGAGCTCTCCATTCTATTCCATTCATCTTTTTGTTGTTGTGTCATTTGCCAGCAACACAATGTTTTTCTTACTGTGGATTTGTGGCAGAGCCAGATTTACCAGTAGGACAGGTAACCCTACTTTTTTTTCTCTTCAAAACAGACATGGCTTTCATAAGTCTTTATTCTTTTGTATTTATTTTAGAGTAAGTTTTAGTTTCTCAAACATTACAATAGGAATTTTTGTTAGAATTTTATTGAATATCTATAGAATAATTTGGTGGAATATTTATATTTTGCCTGGAATTGAATTCTTTGCCAGTATTCAGTGTGACTGGCTCTCGTACCTCTTTCAGATCTCTGTTAAAATGTCAGAGAAGCCTTCCCTGACCATCCTAAATTAAGTAGCGCACACACGTGCACACACATCATCACTCTCTATCCCTTTATCTTGTTCAATTTTTTTCATAGCATTTATTACTCTCAATTTAGATTATTCATTTAAACAGCAGAACAGTGCCTGGATTATCGTAACCATTCAGTGAATAATTTGTTAAAACAAGTGAATTAAATCTTTACAGTGGTGAGGTTATCCCAACTATGACATTTATTCAGATTTTCTTATGTCCCTGAATAGAGTTTACATGTTTTCTTGGTAAACTTCTTAGTCATTTTTTTTTTATTAGTTTAATATTACTATAGATCAGAAGTTAGCAAGTTACACCTGGACACGTTGGTCCGCTGCCTATGTTTTAAAGGAACACAGCCACATTCATTCATTTAAATATTATCTATGGCTGCTTTTGTGCTACAACAGAGTTGAGTAGTTGTGACAGAGATTGTTTGGCCTGCAAAGCTGAAAATGTTTACTATTTTATGTTTACTATCTACCTGCAGAAAATAGTTTGCCTATGCCTGCTATAGACTATAGTATAGTTGCTATTATAGGTAATATTAGATTTTTTATTAGATTTTTTAATTGGTTTTCCCTGCTATAGAAGAACATTATTGATTTTTTAAGTTTATTTCTTCACTTGCTTGCTTAACTCTTTTATAGTTCCAATAGTTTGTTGACTGTCTTGTATTTCCTATATAGCTGATCATAACATTGACAAGCAATGACAATTGTATCTCTTTGCTTCCTAGTCTTACATGCCTCTTTCATCTTTTTCTTGTTTAAAAGCATTGGCCGGACTCTCCAATACTTTAGCAGCCACTAGCAGTAATAATGAGCATCCACATTTTAGTCCTGATCTTAATGTTATTGCATCAAATTTCTCTATTAAGTAGGATGCTTACTGCAGGTTTCTGTTTGTTGTATTGGCTTCTTAGCAAATTAAGAATGTTCTTTTTTTGAACATTTTTTTGTGGTGTAGGTGAAAGTTTACAGAGCCTTAGTTTCCCATTCAACAATTTATACACAATTTGTTTCGAGACATTAGTTGCAATCCCCTCAATATGACAGCACTCTACCCTTCCCTGGGTTCCCCATTTCCATTCACCCCTCTTTCTTGCCCCTTCCAAACTTTGTTTTTGGACAAATACTGCCCTTTTGGTCTTCTGTGGTTGATTGTTCTGATGAACATATTCCTCACAGATATTATTATTCACTTTATAGGGCTGTCTATTGTTTGGCTAAAAGGTCATCTCCGGGAGTGGGTTCAGTTCCAGGTCTGAAGGGTATCTAAGGGCCATAGTCTCAGGAGTTCTGCCAGTCTCTATCAGACCAAAGTCTGGTCTTTTTTATGAATTTGAATTTTGTTCTACATTTTTCTCCCACTCTGTCCAGGACCTTCTATTGTGATTGTGATCAGAGCGGTCAGTGGTGGTAGCCAGGCACCATCTAGTTCTTCTGGTCTCAGGCTAGTGGAGGCTGTGGTTGGTGTGGTCCATTAGTCCTTTGGACTTGTTTCATTGAGACTTTGACTTCCTTTACTCTTCTTTGCTCCAGACGGGAAGAGACCAATACTCGTATCTCAGATGGCCACTCGCAAGCTTTTAAGACCCCAGTTGCTACTCGCCAAAGTAGGATGTAGAACATTGTCTTTATGGA